TAGAACAAAACACATAATAAAACACAAAACGAACTAAAAACTCACGAAATAACCTACAATGAAGAAAAATGAGGGGAAAAGAAGAACAAAAATATAGCGAAAAATGCAACAAAAATGGTTACAACAATCATGTTAACTTGTTGACCTGTCAAACTCTTGTATTTTCCTAACATTTCCAGAATAAGGTTAGCAGATTCAGCAGTGCCTTGACAGAAAAGTAATGAGTCATCTGCAAAGAACGGATGGCTGAGAGTGGGGCCTTGTTTTGATATTTTCAACCCTTTGTAAGCACCAGTATTTATTTCATGCTGAATTAAACAAGACAAACTTTCTGACACCAGGATGAACAGATAGGGGGAAATGGGATCCCCTTGTCTGATTCCTCTTGTGGCCAAGATATATCCAGCAGAGTGACCATTAAGCTTAAATGAAAAGGAGGAAGATGTCACACATGCCATTATCCACTTGATAAAATTTGAGTGAAACCCCATTTTTTTCCATAATACTACTAATACTTGCCTATTCAATTCTGTCAAAAGCTTTAGACATATCCAGTTTCAAGGCCATGTACCTTTTGGAACCATTTCTATGTCTATTAAGGAAGTGAAACACTTTCTGCGCAATTATCACATTGTCAAGCAGCTGCCTATCAGGAATGAAAGCTGCTTGAGTATTACTGATGCATAAAGTTAAACAGTGCTTCAATCTTTCAGCAAGAATTTTTGAAATAACTTTGTAAATTACTTCACATAGGCTTATAGGCCTGTAGTCCCCCACAGCAATAGGCAATTGACATTTAGGGATGAGTGTGATTAAAGTGAGGTTCCAATTTTTCAGCAAATGTCCAGAATTGAAAAAATGTAAAACTGCTTCACACAGATCACCTTTAATGATACTCCAACAATTTTCAAAGAAAGCAGGAGTCATACCATCCCAACCAGGAGCTTTATCTGGGTGCATGCTGAATAAGGCATTTTTTATCTCTTCTTCTGTTACTTGGGCCACTAAATTCTCATTTTGAACTACAGTAATGGTGGTAGGAATGTGGCTGAGGATGATCCCAAAATCAGCAAATCCTTCAGATGTGAATAGCTTTTTGTAGGAAGCTGTGAGGCAATCAGATATTTCTTCTCTGGTGGAACATACTGACTAGTCCTCTCTGATTATTCTGGTGATGGCATTTTGCTTCCTTCTTTGGAGAGTAAATGCATGGAAGAACTTTGTGTTCTTGTCACCTTCTTTGAGCCATAACACTCTGGACTTTTGTTTCCAGAAGAGCTCCTCATCTTGATAAGCCTCATTTAAATGTTGTTTGAGCAGGTGCCACCTCTCCCAATTTCTTTCTCCTTCTTGTTCTCTCAGCCCATCCATCTCAGTAGTGAGTTTCTCAATAGTCTTTGCTGCTTTCGTTTTAAAAGTTCTGCTCCACTTCAAGAGAGCTACTCTAGTAGCTTTAATTTTTTCAGTAACTCTGAACATTGGAGAACCACTTGTTTGTTGGTTCCAGGCTCTTTGGATTTCTTCTTTGAAGCCTGGCTTCTTGAGCCACCTCTTATCAAAACAAAACAGTTTTTTCTTGGTCTCTTGAGTAGTGCCAGTGTAGAGAAGAAGGAGGTTGTGGTCCGAGGCACTTCTAAAAATATTGACAACCTTTGCCTCTAGATAAGACTGAAGCCATTGCAATGAGGCCACCATTCTGTCTAGCTTCTCCTCAATGTACCCTTCAGCAGGTCTGTTATTTCCCCAAGTAAAGGGGTAGCCCTCCATATAAATTTCCTGCCCTCCCAAGTTTGCTAAACAGGTTCTGAAGCCCCAGAAACTTTCTTCAGTTCTGTGTCTCCCTCCATTCTTTTCTCCTTTACATAGAATGTCATTCCAGTCACCTGCAATGACCCATTTGTTGCCCCAGCTGTCTTTTGCAAAGTTAAGGTAATGTCATTGCTCCATTCTGGTTTTCCTGTATGGGCTCAGATAGACAAAAATGAACCAGGATTTATCATGATTAGAAGAAAGACTGAATTCCACTTCAATACAAAAGGATTGACATTTTAGCTGATGGATGATTACATCCTTATTCCAGAATACAAGTAAACCTCCTCCTTTATTAATAGGATCAGAGGTAACCCACCTATCTTCAACACCCAAGTTCCTACAAACAGTAGTAATAAATTTTTTAGATTTTCTAGTTTCACATAAGAAAGCAAAATTTGGGTGGTGGGATCTCCATGATTCCTTGAGTTGGGGAACTGTAGAGGGCCCACCCAGACCTCTACAGTTCCACACCATTGCTGTCATTTATCCACCTGGGGCCACTTAAGGCTGGCTTCCACCACCTTTTAATCAAGCATTTTTTTATTCTTGTTGGGGCTGTCTTTGAAGTCTGGGTTTGCTTGCTGATTTGAGGTCTCAGTGTCTGCTGGCCAGTGCCTTTTTCCACTTTCTAAGGCAACAGGGTGATTTTGTGGAGTGCTTGGAGAATTGGCACTTGCTGTTTTTGTTTGCCTTCTGGACCATTTCCTCTTAGTTTCTTGGGTGCTGATGCTATTTTGTCTTTCTTCTAATACTGATTGGTGTGGTGCAGACAGAGAGAAATCCATTAACTGCTCCTTTCAATAGGATGTGGCATTATTTTCAAATTTGAGCAGGAGGACTTTGTTTGTTGGTTGTACATTGGTCATAGGAGACTGGGTTGGTGAATTGGTGACCAGAGTTGTGTCCATTGTGTTGTCCTTCTCCTTGAGAGATATATTTGAGTTGCTGGTATTAGCCTCTTGCTGGTATCCAGTTGATGAGTTGTCTTGAGGATTGTGGGTTTCCTGAGGAGTTGACACTGTATCTGAGGATCTGTTAGATCTGGGCGAAGAAACTTCTTCAGTAGCTTTTAACCATTCACCATATTGGCCTTCTGTTAGCGAGCCATTTGCAATATCCTTTAATCTTGAAGTGCAGGTTCTATCAAGATGACCAATTTTCCCGCAATAGTAACACAGATTGATTAATTTTTCATATTGAAAATCGATTCTTCTGACTTTATCGCCAAGTTTGATACTGGTGCAGCGAATCAGTGGCTCATTTAGATCAATAGTAACTAACAATCTGAGATATCTTCCACAATTACCAGTGCCCATGCTAATGGTCACATTCTTCACCTTTTTGAACAGTTTGCCTATCTTTAATCCTACTTCAGGGGTAAGCCAGTTAAGCGGGATGTTGTTAACCTGGACCCAGAGGTCTATTTCTTTGAAGCAATCATGATCAGCAGCCAGGTCGTCTTGCCATTCCTTAAGGATGATGTATTGATTTTCAAAGGACCAGTTTTTACCTGCTGCAACTTTATTTTTCTCTGCCTTTGAATCGAAGATGAACTGGAAAAAATTTGGCTCGATTTCTCTAACTGTGAGTGCGTGTTTGAGCTGCCAGATATACGCCATGGTTTTTTTGAGCCCAAATAGATGTGCTTTTCGATCGCCGATTATTTTTCCGAATAAGCTGCATTTACATTCATCGGCGCTGAGTCTGACATCAGAGGGATCTAGATTAGTGATGTTTTCCTCCTTTTTTGAGAGGGAAAAATTTTGCAGCCGATTGGTAAGATCGTCTTGCATCGCGAGAAAGTTGAAGGAATGAAAAGGAAAATATAGCAGAGGATGAAGAGAGTTGAAATAGAAGGTATTAGGGTGAGCGATCAGAGGAGAGGAGATCAGGAAAAGGAAAAACGCGAGATGAAAATTCACCGGAAACCGGAAATTGACAGCAAGCTCCCAAAAGGAGAAAACCCTAACTGGAAACCGGTAATCTGTCTCAAATAATCTGTATTCTTAAAACTATAAATGTTTTTTGGTTTTTAAGGTCAAATTAATAATAATAAAAAAAAAAAAAAAATGTCTGGTCTAGCTCACATAATCAGTGTTAGTAACTTTAAGATGGTCCAAAATAATAAATAAATTATTGAAAAATTATAATTACATTGCGAGATAGATAAATTTAATAACAATGAATTAGCCTATTAATAACTCACATTTTGCCATCCTAAATGATGCATTTGCTGAAGAACTGGATGAGCCATATAGAGTGAAAAAGATCAAGTTATGGCCCTTTAAATTACACCAAACAGAAATGAATGCTACAGAGAATGTTCTTAGCACCACTTTGTTGTACTAAATCTTCAGCGCAGCATAATAAAATTAATCATAGTAAAAGTTACCCAAATCTTGAGACAAATCCCAGAAAGAAACTCGAAAAAATCGGAAAAACCGGAACATAGTTATAATTTTCGTCTCCACTTGTTTTTTTTTTTCCCAATTCAGCATAGTTACTGCATTCCGGGACTCTGAGGACCCAGCGGCCTCACTGGTGTCTTTGAAGGACTCACCCTACAGAATGTTTTCCAAACACTATCAGATAAAAAATGTTTATTGACTCGAGTAAAAAAAACTGACAATAATAACATGGACGAAATGTACCTGATATGCTGAGATCCCAGAAGTTGACCACAACAGTTGAGAGCCAGTATTGCACTGTCTGCCTGCAAATTTGTTAATAGTATTATCAAGTTACTCGATTTCTCTAAGAATTTGATTTCGTATAGAAAAAATAAAAATAAAAATTGATTAAGTGTTACATACCATGACGAATTCAACAAAAGCAATTCGTGTCGAGTGCATGTGATCTCCCAACAGCCTCAATTGAGAAACCTAAATCAATATAAATATTCAGCAAAACCACTTTCACAAGGAAAAAAAAAAAGAAAAAAAAAAGACGGTGATTTTTAACTTCAATGCACGTACCTCGCCACATCTCGTTTCGAAAAAACTTTTCACGTCACCTTGAGAGACCTGTTTAGAATGACATATATTAACATATTTCAAAATCACTTTGGCATATATTCATCATTTAAAATTAAGGACTGGCCTTGAAAGAAACAAAAAAGTTAACAACCTTCTTATCAATATTTGTACAGTACACTGTTCTGGCACACATCTCACGTTCATCCTCTGACTGGACATGAAAATCGTTCATAGAATCAACGTTAAGCAAAGTAGTGTAAATGTACGATTAGTTTTTGACAGAAATAGGAATGATGAAAAAAATACTCGTCTTACCCTTGGGAGGAATGTAGGGTTCACAGGAAGAATGGCAGTTTTGGAAGGCAAAACCTTAATAGGAGAGAAACCCAACAGTGTCCCAGTAAGGGTAAGAGCAGCCTTAGCTGAATCTGTTCACATAATTAAAATAAGGAAATACACAGTAAGATATCACATAAACGATCTTACCGAACCCCAAGAAAGAGAGAAGAAAATGGGATAAAGCTCACGTTCGTCAGAAAATTCCACAAAAGCAAAGCGGAGGCGGGAATGCGGGTCACCACAAACTCGGCAATCAACAACCTGCAAAATACATACAGACGAAAGATAAAAAAAGGATAAAAGAAAAAAAAATGACATGCATGCAGCATGTTTGACATATGACAAATGATGAATAAAAGATCACAACTTTTGTAACATAGTGACGGATAATTTGATACGCGTGAAAGCACATAAGGTGACGTGATATTTTCCTCAAAAGTACAGAAATTGAATGTATTCCTACATACAGATAGGACTAACTTATAGGGAAGAATACCATCATCCTCAGTTATTTTGTTACTTTTTCTGTTGGGCAGAAACTAATAGCTGTACATGATATACACGTCTGGAGCAACAAAATCGTGTCTGTTAAGGAGAGGTAGCTAAATAGTACAAATGAAACCCGAGTCACAAAAAAAGAAACTGCATACAGGAATAATAGTCATAGTAGTCTGTTGGTACAAAACAAGACTGGCTTATATTCTAAAATGACGAGTACTAACATCCTTCATTGGTAGCGGGTCAAGTTATTACAGAAAATTCATGCATAATCCACATATGATGCTATTTGTACTACCTTATCAAGTTTAAAACACTGAACACAATCACAATATAATTTTATTTAATAATATGAAGACGAGGTGGAGAATCCATCAATAAGAATGCAGCAAAAAAATATTCAGATAAATGTTCTTGAGCAGAATAACTTACCTGCCCACAACTGATGAATAAGGCAGCAAGCCGCTCTTCGGTGATCTTTAGTTTCAGAGGTAAGAGAACTCGTCAGTTAGAATCCTGAACAAACTCGTTAAAACAATTACATTACATATAGCTAATCAATTTCATCCTTACATTGTGATCAATGTCAGAAACATAGACAGTTCGCCTGATGCTGGCTTCCCTTTGAGCTCTGGAAGATTTGCTACTCGTTTTCTTCTTGCTTGAGTTGTTATAACTTTTTCTCTGGCAAAATCACAAAATATGGGTGCAGAACCAGGAAAAAGAAAAAAGAAAAATCAATTAATAGGAAAAAGAAATGTTCCATTGTCAGTAACAAACTCACTTTCAATAGATAAATTAAGATTATAAAGACAGGCATAACTCCATATAACAGAAGAGACTACATGGGGGATGCATGATGTATAACAAATGAACTAACTCATACGTATAAAGGTATAAATAATAAGAGTTGTTCGATTGCAAATTCATTAGCAACTGATAACAAAGGTCATGCTTGTGTGTTTTAATACATAGTACGCATACATATGTACTGACCCTATAATCATCATTACAGTTAACCACTGGCTCACATAAGCTTAATGTGAACATTAACCTAAAGTATGTATTACTTGTAACCGAAGGACAGTCTCTACATCTCCAAGCCAAATTGATCCACTTATGTGAACAAAAGTGAAAAAGTCCAAATTTCACAACTAGGACGTTGCAAATGACTTTCTGATACAAATACGCATGTTAGTTTCATATTCAGCAATACGCATAAACAATACTTCATGAAGAACCAGAGAGTGGAAGCTGTCTACCCAACAAATAACAATTTAGACTGTCACGAAAAAAATTGCAAAACTTAATTTCTCAAATTGGCTAATCGAAAATAATTGATTCGTCCCAAGGTTTGACAAAAACAGTCACTCATCATGCTATGACACTCTAAATAAGAAATTAACACTGCAAGTACAAATCAAACTCAATCTTGCACCTGGAATAAAGTATAGGTAAACTACTAAGACCCATTTTTATTCCCACATCTGGTTCAGAGATGCTAGTTTCAGTATGTGGATTAACTAAAAGAACAATATTTCCAAGTTCCAGAATCAAAAACAAACTAGTCCATAATATATAATATCAGTCAAGACAATGCAAACATGTCCATAATATATCAATATAGTGACTATTAGAGGGTTAGGTTCTAGCATTCATCTTTCAAACACAAGTTTGAAGTTTATGCTAAAAGATGTATAAGCAAGAATATCATTGAAATGACCCATAAACAAATCAATCAAAAAGATGGGAATTAGTAAATCATCATCAACCACATAGAAACTAATCAATCAATAGAATGGCATGTTTCAAAATGTACGAGGGGGATAATCGCATGTATACCCTCCGATTATTTGCGAAACCATCATTTCCCAAATTTTTATTGGAGAACACGACACTATAAGCGCCCATTTGACCATAATAATAAGAGGAAGGAAAGAACTCCTTAGCCCGGGGATTCAGTTTGAGTTTGTTCAGCATGTCAACAATATCCTTCACTTTGAATTCCGATTTCGAATCGGCATTCGAGTCCAAATCAGAGCCCTTAACCCCATTAGCATCACGACGAGATTCCTCAGACATCCCAGAATAAGAATTTTCACTTTTCCCCACCCCTTTTTCACTATCAGGTCCACTGTCTTTTGGTGATGAAGGCTCAACAACAGCTGCTGGAGAATTCATCTCCAAACCTGCGACCTCACCAAAAACCTCGGAACAAGCTGCCATTAAAATCGACAGAACAACACAAAAAAAGGCTGAAAAATAAACAATTTTGAAGAGACCGAAGGACCCAAAAACACAATCCAAACAAAAATTCAGTCTTTAGCTCTAAGATCTTTCTTATGTTTCTCTTCGGCGAAAAACCCAGTAATGTATCTTTATAAAACTATCGAGATCAGTCGAGAAACGGATAGGTTTTCCGTTCAGTTTATCAGATTCCCGTGATCTCCGTGTAAAAATCAGGGCTGATTATCTCAACACATGCGCGTGCGTATAATCGATGGAGGAGGCTAAAATCAAGAACCCATTTGGTGAAAATGGAGAGAAAATAGATGAAATAAGAACAATGAATACTGAAAAGATGCAACAAATTTCAAGGGTTTCTGTGTAACAAATTCTTGATCACAAGTGGCAGAGGTTTAGGTGGTGGTTTAAGGAAGGAACCAATATGTGGGCTTGGCTTTTTTCGGCTCTTATACACACACAACACAATATGGGCACATAACTAGCCTATTATTTTTTTTGGTACTGGGACCTTCCGGTTTCCGAATTCACAGAAGAACCGACTAATCCGAAATCGAGCTGGGTAGGACCACAAACATAACTAGCGTATTATTTACATACATACGTCTGACATAAATGGAGGAGTTGAAAGTGTATTAAAGTAGAAGTGCGTTATAAATGGTGGATGAGCCAAACGTAAAACAAGTTTATTATTATTATTATTATTATTATTATTATTATTATTATTATTATTATTATTATTATTATAATTATTATTATTATTATTATTATTATTATTATTGAAATGATAGAAAAAAATACCAAATATATTTACAAAATAAATAATAATAGAAAGTAGTCACTTAGTCGAATAAACAGCCAACGGTCGAATAAAACGACTAAATTGCCGTAGACATACGGTAACCTAGAACCAACCTAAAACCACACAAAACACTAAGTGAATTTTTTGAGAATTTTTTCGTTTGATTTATTTATGTCGTGAGATATGTTGCGTTTATATACAATATATTTTTCAATATTTGTTCCCTTAACACAATCGGCGATATATGTTGTGTGTGTAGGAAGTATATGTTTTCGTTGCTCCTGCTTTGTTTGTTTACCATCCGGCATGTACTTCATTTGTCTATCATATACTCTACATATATTAAAATAATTTATTAAAACAATAATTATGACCAATTTATGATATGTATATGATAGGTTATATACTGAATACAAACTCAAATATCACAATTGTAGTTAGATAAAAATGTTATCTAAATAAAAAATTAGGTTATATACAGAATATATACAGACTATATACTGCTTATTCAAAAACCATGAGAACCAACTATATGTACTTAAGGGGAGACGGTTACACTTTATTTGGTGACTGAAAATCTATATATATATAATTACTAGCTCTTCTACATTTAAGAAAACCTCTTAAATTATATCTAGGTGGCACTTTTACATTTTGCCCCCAAAAACCGTTACTTTTTATTTATTTAACCTAATTAATAGATAATCAATACACTAATCAATTTAAAATACAAAAATCATTTTCAACTTTTGATTACTGACAGTTAAACATATAATGTGTTACTGTATAATGTGATTAGATATTATTATTGTGGTTACATGTAAATTATTTTTTTTGGAAAATAAAAAAAGTATATGAAACTCCTAAATAAATTATAAATAATTTAAAAAAAAAAAATACATACCAAAATATACGTTACATCTAATCTAATAAATGCAATTTAAAAAAAAATCAACTCCTTTTATTGTAAATTTAGCTGCAAAAACGTGAAAGAAAAATAATTAATCATTATATGCATACAACACTACAAAAAAATGATAAAATTCCAACAGAAATATATTTCAAATAATTATTCCAACGGCAATTCCAACGGATATTTCAATACTATTATTTCCGTTGGAATTTTTCAATTGATTCCAACGGAAATTCCAACGAAAATATTCCGTTGGAATGGGTTTTCCATTGGAATTTTCAACGGTGGATTTTGACGATTTCAACGGTGGATTTTCCAACGGGGGTGGAAAAAAAAATTCCAACGGAATTTGCATATTCCAACGGAAATTCCTACGTTAAAAAGCCGTTGAAATTATAGTCGTTGGAATCATTAAATTCCATCTAAAATTCCAATGAAAAACACATTCCAACGGAATATTTTCGTTGGAATTTCTGTTGGAACTATTCCAACGGAAGCTATTCCATTGGAATATCCGTTGGAATTTCCATTGGAATATATTACCATAGGATTTTCCGTTGGAATATAACATTTATTTTGTAGTGCAAATAACTTACAATATTTTATTTACATTTGTGCAAATGCACAGGTAGAATACTAGTATCCAATAATTTGGGGAAGGCGGTTACACTTTATTTGGTGTATATTTTATAGTTAATTGGCGTAAATTGGTAAAAATGCAAATAAAAGTTGTCTCATGATAAAATTATAATTTTTTTCCAAATCAATCATGGAGTATAAATAAAAATTTCCCAAATTTATATTGAAGATTTGAATTTCAAATTCCTAAGCCCAAATTTGTATTATACTACCATTACAGGTTTTCTATATGTTGATTATTATAGAAATCTGACTAATGTGGTAAGTTGTGATGAGTGTTTTATTTGCTAGAAAGTATTTTCTACACAAAGCTAATGATTTTCTTTGTACTTTATATGTTATATATCGATCATCTTTATTTTGTTCACTTTTTTATATATACAATATTAAATAATAATTATAAATTAAAGAAATAGAGTTACCATGTGATATAATTTACCATATAAAATTATCTTGTCTAATATAACATAAAACATGTATGTTCAAAATATTAAAAATACCTAAAATATTATATAGCATATATAAGATTATCTAAAATATTATATATTATTCTTAAAAAATGTGAATTCACCTAAAAAAATTCTAAACTATTTTGTAACCAAAACATGTTTAAGCACATTTAAATTTTAACATTTTTATATATAGAACATTATCTATAGAATGTGAAAAATAATGCCTAAAGAATATGTTTAAAAGTATATATAATATTCATAAATGATTCAAATTCAAAATCAATTATGAATCTTCGGTGTGTATTTGTGTTTTTGAATTTTGACATGCATATATACAATTTGATATGCACCAGATTTTGAAGTCGATATTCTGAAATTTGAAGTTGAATAAAATCCTTAATTTAAAGAATAGTTGGAAAATCCATCACAAAAATGGTTGGAAAAATCGGTCCAAAACGTTGGAAAATATTCACAGTCGCAATTTTTGAATTTGAATTGAACAATACCCAATGTTGATGGTAGCATTAAATGCTGTTCAATTTTGTTGTTAAAAGAAAATACAAAATTGAAAAAAAAAATCTTGAATTAGCATGAATTTAATTTTGCCCAAATTTTTTGCTTACTATTTTTGGTATATGGTTATTCTCTTTATATATATATACAGATTATCTTGAAAATATGTACTAAGAGCATCTTTAACGATAGTGTTTCGTGAAGTTTACAAACCTCCTTTTCAAGGTTTTACCACTATAAGGCACAACGTTGAAGTTTGTAAATTCAACACAGCTTTGACAGTATAAACCTTATGTAAACCTCATTTAAATAATAAAATAATAACAAGCAATGGGTAAGTGGGAGAAAATTAAGTCTCACATTTTACATCTTACTTTTTACTTTGTTTTTTTATTTATTTTTATTTTTTCCTTGCACTTGCATGTACATATCCGAAAATTGTCCTTAATTTTTCAATTGTAAAAACAAAAACTGAAAGTTTTATATTTCATATTATTCTCATTTTTCGATAGCAGTCGGAAACTTAAAAATCTTATACTCCACATGATTTAAAACTACAAGTACTTAAATTTCAAACTCATAAATATAATTCTTTTTTTTCTATTAAGTATTTAAATTTACAAAACTTACATGAAAGATAATTGTATATACATAATTATATGAAACATAATTTAAATATATTATATACTTTTTTAAGCAAAATTTTACATCGGTATGTAATAAACACCCTATAATTAATAAATAATGCAAAGTAATTATATATAATTGATAATTATAATACTTTTTATATGTTTTTATGGTAAATATATGAAACATTTAGATTAAATAAAAGTAAACATGAAGTTAGTTTTAAATTTTAGTAAAATATAGGAGTGTAATTTTAATTAAAAAGTAAGTGGGGAACATGCGGGACCCATCAAAATGAGGTTTATGAGGTTTATTGTTATTTGGGATTTATGGATGTAGGAGTAAAAATGAAGTTTTGATGATATGGAATATTGGAAAGGTAAAAAGTAAGGTTTATAAAACCTTACCATTAAAGTTGCTCTAATAATGAAGTTTGAGAAATTGATTTATTTTTTATGTTATTTTGTTAAAAATGTTCTTATGGTTTGCCAAACAATGAATTTGAAATTCATGGATTTGAAACTCTTTCCACAAATTCACCTTAACCCAAACAAAGAAATTCAAGGTAATGAATTCGAAATCTAATAATTTTAAAATCCTTTGATACAAAATCCTTCGGGATTCTATTTATTTATTTATTTATTTTGAAACGATAGATTTTATACCTCAAACGGAGAATTTACAATGAGTGACACGGGAGGCTAACTAGCCCAATGAATTCACCTAGAAGGCGAACTCAGGAGGTATGCCAACAGGGCACCCTAGACGAACAACACTAACCAAAGGAATAAGGTCCATGCCCCCCCGGCAACGCTTAATGAAGCTGAACCCGACCGGCTGGGAACTCCATCCTATCAAAACAAAATCTAACGCTCCCACAAAAGAGAATAGCTAACACAAACTCCTACAAGGAGAATAACAAACTCTCACGAGTGGATAAACACATCTACACTACTAAAAAAAAAAACTCTCACGAGTGGATAAACACACCTACACTACTAAAAAAAAAAAAAACACACACACACACAGACCTACACTATAATAGAATAACACCTCCCAAACTACACGCGAGCACTCAGCAGCGACGAACAAAGCCAGTAGACGAACCAATGTCCCAAAACCACCGAAACCCCTAAACCGAGAGCATATGGAGCAGAAGAGGAAGGATCCAACCCTAAAAACTCCAAGGAAGTGGCTAGTCAGATCTGGCAAGGAGGAAACCTCAGCCAAGATTTACGCGTTCTAGATAATCGACCGGGAGAAGACACCTAGGGAACCGGCTCGACACAGCATACCCGTGGAGCCCAACACCGAAGCCCGATAGGGGGCTACACCACACGTCCGTGCATGGCCGGACTGTGGAGACGCCATCTGGACTCTGAGAGGAAAAGCGGCAGGCCTAGGGGCTCCAACGGTCGGACGGAGAACATGAGGCAATGGGCCGGGCCGACGCCATCCTTCCACGAGTTCGAGGATTGAGCAAAAATGCCTAATACAGTTTGATTTTCAAAGTGGGGCTATTCATAGACTCTGAAGTGTATTTACACATTAACCAATATATATCCAATGGGTCCAGGGCGAAACCAGAAAATTAGTTCAGAGGGGGCAAAAGACACGACATAATAGGTTCAGAACCGATATCAACTGATAACATTTCGGTAACCGATTTTCGGTTACCGTTACACATAAGTTCGTTCGGTTCAGTTTATTTCTCATAGTTCGGTTCGATTCAGTTCGGGTTCCGGTTTCGTTAAAAAAATATCAGCTCTAGCTTGGACAATAAAAAAGTTGATGTCTTTTATATGGGTCAATTAAAAATGTATAATGAAAATATACAAAAATATTTGTAAAATAAAAGAAGTGTTGAATTATTTTTTTTTCCAAACGATAGAATTTATATAAAGAAGTGTTGAATTGTTAATTGATAATTGTGAACAAGTTGATATGGTGAGTGATGTTTGAAAATAAAAAATCTGGGGGTGCAAAAATAAATTCAAAGAAAAAGAAAAGGGTGCAAATTTATTATTTTTAATATCAAAAGTAAAAGAAGTTAAAGTTTGAGGGGGGCAATTGCCCCCCATTACAAAGTGTAGATTCGCACTGAATGGGTCCAGTCGATTAATTCAATGTAAAAATCACATATTCATAGTAGACATGGCCACGGGTTGACCCGGCCCGCCGAACCGGCCCGAACCCAGACCGAACCCGGCCCGGACCGGCCCGGAAAATCCGGTTTTCGAACCGGAACCGGCCTTGTGGAGGGCCGGTCCCGGGCCTCCTTCGATCCAAAAAAAACCGGCAGGCCGGTCCGGGTTCG